CCTATACTGTACGGAAATTATCATTATTCATTCCGTACACTGTATGAAAATTAGCATCATCCATCTTTTATACTGTACGGAAATTAGCATGGACCATCTCAAACCCTGTATGGAAATTAGTCTCGTTCATCCCCTATACTGTATGGAAATTAGCATTGTCCATAACCTATACTGTATGGAAATTACCATCGCCCATCCCGTGTATTGTATGAAAATAGCATCATCCATCTCTTATATTGTGTGGAAATTAGCATCGTCTATCCCCCTAATAATGTATAGAAATTAGCACCGCCCATCCCCTATATTGTAGGATTTAAATTTCTTACCACATGCTGTATTTTCTCGCCAATCGCTTATCACAATTCCTTCACCCTGGCACAGTGCAACATAACTTGCTAATACAGCACATCCACCGGCTTCGTCTTCTGGAAGTGAGTCGCATAGATCCATCTTACATGCGTCAATGTACACGTCTGGAGGCAGTGTATCGGCACACTCTGGTAAGGCTCCTGGGATATTAGTAAAAAATAATCACATGTTGCATACATATATAATACGTGAGTCGTTGCCTGTGATTAGTACAGTTAAATAAATGTTATAGAAGACGTGGAGTAACGATTTTATTTTACTCAGATGAGAAGTGTTTACCTATTAGTGATTTACAGATGTCAAGTGCCTGCTCTGCATTTTGTGGATTCAAGTCGCAAGGACTTGAATCTACATATCGGCGAATTTTATCCGTGACATCACTGTAACTGTCGCTGCCGCTTTCCACTTGCATACACTCTTCCATGGTTCTCCAACTGTTGCCGAACTCATTAACATCAGATGTCTATTCGGATAAAAAGAAAAACATCGGGGAAAAAGTTCGATTCAAATGAGATTGGATGTAATGTGAATTAGAACAAATATTCGAATAAATTTGTAGTACAACAGACGAATTCCGAGGAGAAAATAAGGGCTGAAATAGTGCTGAAATGTCGGTCTGCATCTACTCTTTTTGCGTGCAATATCCACGTCTTTTATGTTACAAAATGCTACGCTACATGCACTCAAGATCGATATAGAATGTCAGAGAGATACTACTCATTTAAATCAAAATCGAATTTCTAACCAGTCACCAAAATATGCGTCTACTATAACGATTCACGTGCCTAGACAACTATATTCGATACAACTGATATAACGGTGGTATTCTCATGCATTGATATTATGGTAATGTGTTCAAATATTACAGTACGACACAAACTGTCTGGATCAAGATTATACAGATGTGTGTCAAGAACGAACCGGTCTACTGTTGTGGTGTATAAAAAACAGTGAATAATAATGAAATAATGTCATTGCGACAGAATTCTTCCAAGTAACATATCAAACTATATGATTACCAGCATTTTATCTGGCGTGTAGAGATCATGACCTGTCTTGTAATCAAACCAACCACACAGACCGCAAACATTTTTAAGTTGGCTAGAAACCAGGTCAACTCGTATCACAGACCATCCATCCCAAGAAACGCGAAAACCGAAACCAGTAGTAACCACCTAAAATAATGCATAAAATTATAAAAATAATTTTAACACAGTGTCACGTGAAACAGGAAAATTGTGAGAAAATTATAATTAAATGATGTGATGTTGTTATATTTACCAAATACAAACCAACGTTTTTTATGGTTAAGTAATTCATTGTGATTGGTGGATAGACCGTGGTACCATTAATCTTGACTTCTTTTAATGGAAGTAACTCTATTACCTGTGATATACATAGAGGTATATTATATTGCGTATATAAAGCTAATATTGTATATTATAACTCGTACAATAAAACAATTAAATTAATAAAAAATAAAAAAAATACTAAAAACAAGCCATGCATGTTCACAGTCCCTGTTAGTTATCGAATTTAGGATATATGGTTTTGTTTGTAGTAATATAGCTGGAATATAACCATGTCAGGAATATGATTATAATGATTGTTTACCATTTAAATTATCGACATTTGTGTCTGATCGTCAAACGAGTATTGAGAGATATTGCTCTGGAACAGCATTAATTAAAAAAAATCAGCCATTTGAATACATGTATAATGAATATATAAAATTTGAACATAGTCAGTCAAAATATTTCAGAGATATGGCTCTAGAAGCCCGTTTATTAAAACAAAATTGCCACTAGTCACCCCTTCTGAATCCGATCTAAAAAAAGAAAATGACATGCATCAGGAACCCATAATGTCCAATGTATGTGCCAAGTTTCAAGGAAATCCATTCATAAATGCCAGAAATGCTTGATATTTGATGATTTTTTTAGCACAAAAATGGCCACCATTTGGCCATTTTAATAGGATCAAACCAATATATCTGCATATCTATGACATGATGTATAATGAATGTTTATGATTTGATTATAATCAGTCACAGCAAGTCAGAGATATGGCACTAGAACCACATTTATTAAAATAAAATGGCCGCCAGTCGGCCATTTTGAATCTTATCTGAAAACAAAATGATGTGCATGAAGGTCATATAAGGCCCAACGTTTGAACTTGCTTGATTTTGATGATTTTAAGAACTTGAATCAGATCGTGAAACAAATTGATGTCCATATATATAATATCATGTACGATGTATGTGTGAAGTTTGATTGTGATTGGTCCAGGCTTTCTAAGATACAGGTCCGGAAGCACGCACGCACGGACGCACGGAGGTCAAAACATAAGTCCCCGTTTTCGGACTGCTTCCGAACGGGGACTAATAAATGAAAGAACATGTTTGAGACATTCTAAAACAACAATTGAATTACAGGAGTAAAATTACTGTAATGTTACAAATAAAAATATCATTCACGAGATTGGTGTTATTTTACATTGTCACTCATTGGCCGGCACAGTGTAAATTGACAGTGTAAATAAACATAATTCATAATTCATAACATTAATGTTAGCTTTACCACCCCGAGTCTGGTGAATGTTTCTATTTTACTTCATCAATTGTCATCGATAATTCCACTAAAACGGTACCATATAATATCAAATCACTGTTCTCTGGTGGGACATTTAATGTCAATATATCTAGCAATATCAACCCGGTCGACTCAGTGTGTATATTCTTATGTTACTTCTGACAGCGATTCCAATTGAACAACGACTGATTCCGTTTGTGTTTGGTGGTCTAATTTTGAGATTAAAATCTTAACAAACGAAAAAATGTTTATATTCACAGAATATTATATTTAAACAGTAATGAACGACCCTCCAACCCATAATGTGCGACATATATGTGCGAGGCGTAGGTCCAGTACAAATATACATCAAATAAAATGGTTCATCGGCAATAACAACGGATGTAAATATCGAAATATGTGCTGAACGCCATTTCATTTTTAACAATAGACCGCCCTCTTTAGACGCGAACATTACGTTTAGTGTTGGTCAGAGTTCGTTATAACTATTATGGGTTAGCGTCTCATATGCGCACGCTAAACGCATTTCGAACGACAAAGATCGCTACTCAAAGTCCTTCTAAAAAACAATTTCTGTATGTATTGACTCACAAGTTACTCAGGCGACCTTAGCACCGGGTATCGTAATTTTGATAGGTGTATTTTTTGTGTATTTCCATGCTTTTTTGTAAGTCTTTGACGCTCGTTCGTTTAATCAGCGATGACGTCATTTGACATGTGCTTTCTTTATCCTGTTATAGTTTTCACCACTGTCTTGAATTAACTGGCCACTCTAACGCAACTGTGTACAAATTATTTGGGAAGTGGTTAACACCAGTACGAGTACAAATGCACTAGAACCTCGATACAAAATCAGAAAATTGTGTGAGGGCATTGTCGTCTGCTCTATACACTGAATCGCGCTCGGTGACAGCGTTCCATCCAGAACGCGCTTCTAGACTCCACGACAGGTGCCGCTGCCGTGGCCTCCTGACTGGGTTTCTATATCATGCCAGTGAACTAAGGATAAACGGGTGTGATTTATCCAAGCAAATGTGGTAAACGGAGTATGTCTGCTGAGTTTAGAGTTTGAAAATAACTATTAGACGGGTAGGGCAGAAGCCAATGACATATACCTTGATGGTTTGAAAACACTAGTGAGGTGGAGTACCGATACAACCACGCAATGTACCCCGAGTACGCGCAGTCATGGCTTTGTGCAATGCCGCAGTGGACATCGAGACGGCTTTCTATTCTCTTTGTGCTCCATATGTGTACCCGGCCTACGCCTCGCACATGTCGCACGAAGTGAGCTGTCGCCCATTATGGGTTGGCGAGTCATTCATTATTGTTGTTTAATTAATTATTTGATTATACAAATACAACTGTAATATTTATTAACAAGTGTTGAATGTTTAAATCACGCCCAAGTGTAATTCTTCTCACGAGGTACAGTATAATTAACACAAAGTGTCTTTAAAAAAACGTAACACTGACTTTAGGTCATGTCTCCCAAGGCCTTAGATACAACAGTACCGCATTAATGAATATTGACAATTTAATTAAATACTAAAGTATGCATTAACATTTATTATCATACATCTGTCACCGTGACGTCATAAGTAACAGCGTGCCGTAATTTTGCGGTATTTTCCAACTATATTAGGAAATGCGAATTTCAAATATGGAATGATTATGGGCGTAAGCGTCCTCTAATAATAAAAATAAACATGGCTGACACCAGAGTTTGGCCGGACTCCACACAAGAAGTTCGCTGATTCTGTTTTAAATATTTTGGATTTCGGCATTCCCATGGTGTATCCTTGGAAGGAAAAGATGTATAATAATAAGTTTATTACGAGGATACCTCAAAGTATGCACTTAGACAGTACGCCGCGCATCGTCCTCCACTGCGCGTTGGTCGATACTCCAGCTGTACTGTCTTCGAGCATACTTTGAGGTATTCTTGTAATAACCTCATAATATTTTGAATGCGCCTGTTAGATAATCCACGATTGCCGCGTATGGATTTAAAATGCTACTTTCTAAGACGTGACTTGTAAATTTATATACATCTGTTTGCAAGGAACCAACATTTGATGAAATCACTGTCGGGAAGACTCAATTCCTCAAATTCCCACCCCTTGAATCATTTTTTCAGAAACAAACCTCTTCTTACAAATACACTAGTTTAAAATCATGGTAAAATTCACCTATCAGTGCCTCCTGTTATACATTATATCAACGCAACAAAAGTATGACCCATTTGATTCCTATCAAAATGGGACATCTTGACTTACGCGTATAATCATGGGACATCGTGACAATGTCAAAATGAAACCCCTTGCCCGTTTTGAAACATAGACTCCTTGGTTGCCGTTGTTTATGTGAGAGGTATAGCATTTTACTATTTGAAGAGTTTCTGACAAAAAAATAAGTCATATAAAATATGCCTTATATTTCCAATGAAATAATTAAAAATTCAATTATTTAGTGTCAACCATCATCTAATTTTCGGAATTCAGAAAACTGTGAGGATAATTGTTTTCAAAAACTGTCCCTTTTTTTTTTTTGAACTGCAGTAGTAATGCAGTTGCTGGTTACATTTGCTTTGTACAAGGTCATGATATACTACATAATCGGATTGTATTAACAGGATGCCGGAAAGCTGGCCACTGGTCATTATCATTGCTTTAATATTGCGTACAACGACTTACCAGATAATAAACTTCAATTCGTGCTTGTTTAGTGTACGTCACAGGTGACCCAGGCCATGTTAACTCGTTTTCCACGATCACCGCATACCTTCCTTGATTGACACATCCATTGGTCATCAAAATGTATTCGCATTTACCTTGGTAATCATAGTATGTGCCATCGAACGTTTTGTAGTGAGGATCACCAGATCCGTGACAGGTCACGGTTTCTAGAAGGTGATGCACGAAACGTGTTTTACAAAGAAGTTATAATGACAGTATTATAGTATGTGTAGTACACCTGAAACGCAGTGTATGAAAATGATATATTATATTTATTCTACTCTACTCTAACCCTACTCTACTTCAGAAATACTTTTCATTTATTTGAATGTACGCCGTAACTTCAGCTACGTACAGACATGGAGCACATTTTCCTGTAATGCTATGCCCGCTATTTCATTACTCGCATACATCTAGTTCGTATATCCCTTCACCTTCGTTCATCCCTTCTGGGCTACCTGTGATCTACATACCAATTATACGTATCGTATTGTGAATTAGTATTAGCATTGTATAATGCATAATGAACTAAAGTCCGATCAACAAACAAATCATCTTACCTTCACATTCATCTATATACTCAGGACAACAATCCCCATATGAGTGGCAAAATGTATCACACCAACAGACCCGCTCTATGATTTGTTTTGATTTCCGATCATTACCACAAACGTCTCCACAGTAGCCTGTGCATAATAATATAATAATTATACATGCAATATTGTTTCAGGGAAATTATTATTATAAATTCGACATATTATTTTTCAAAGATAATAAATCGTATAATAACACATCATCGCGTCCATCTCACAGTCAGGTTTCAAGAATGGCATATATTTTGAATTATTTGTATAACTTTTGGACAATACTAAGATACTGGAAGGTGTTTTTGACTCCCGTGTGCGAAGCAAAAAAAGGGAGTCTTTGCAGTTAGTGTGTCTGTATGTGTATGTGTATGTGTGTGTGGGG